AAAACTGATATTTTTCATGAAAAATTAATATAATCAAATACACCTTTAATGTGGTTCAAATTGGGCCATAGATAGACTTATTCTTGGGCTTTATTCTTTTTGCTATTTCCCAGCACTAAGTAAACTATTAACGGGCCTACGACTGTATTGGGCTTTAGGGACAATGGACGTTGATACTTATAACGGGCCTATTTTAGGGTTTTGATAGAGAGTGTAGTATAAAATCTTTTGGCTTCCGTCTTCCCTTCTATCTGCTGTTGTGCGCTAGGGTTTTTCGCCTCTTTTTCAGTTTCTGAATACACACAAGCACACACTCTAGGACTACTTGACCATGGCGGAGCAGGTAAAATATATGTAAAATGTTTTATATGCTTATGTATATATTTTTGTCGTGTTTACGCGTCTTCGTGGAGTTTGTGGTGATCTGGACGAACCTGACTTGTGATTGAATTGCAGACCGAGAAGGCGTTCTTGAAACAGCCCAAGGTTTTCCTTTGGTAAGAGAATGTAAACCTTTATCACAATTTGTGATGTCCTTTTACTTTATAGACTTACGTTAAGTGGGGCTTGAGAGTAAAGCGGAAATTTTGCAGCTCGAAGAAGACGGGAAAGGGAAAGAGGCCAGGAAAGGGTGGCAACCGATACTGGAAAAGCATTGGGCTAGGATTCAAGACTCCTCGTGATGCTATTGAAGGTTGAGATATACCCGTTTATTCATACAGATTTATGATACTACTGTTATAAAATGAGATGTGTATCATCTATAAATAAAGGTTGTCCCTTTTGAATTCTGGATCGTGAAATAAATGTTTATGGGGCATGCATTTTCCTGCTTATCTGATAAAACTATTACATCTGATCATTTAATATTCATTTAAAAATTGATAAACTTTATGATCATGTAATACAATTTCAAATAATGTATATATGCTAAGAATTGATAAGTTCAGTATATACAGATTCTTAAGTTAATATTTTGATTTAAAGAGCAATCAAATAAGTTGCTTTTGTGCTGAAATACAACGTTTAAGTGTTTCAATTTTAAGCTGGTTTAGAAACCATTTCAAGTTAATTCTGTAGTTCCATGAATAGACTACAGTGTCACAAATCTTTCTACTCATCCTGTATATTGTCCTCTTCATACCTTGTTGGAATAGAACCTTAATTCATACTTCTTGTTAGTTAGTTATTAGTCGAGATTTTATGGAAAAAAAAAAGTCTTTCTAGGAGAGATCTACCATTGTTCTACAATATGCTCGTCCTTTTCTATTTTTCGACTGAGCCTAAACTTACTTAGGCCATGGCATATACTTAGCCCTTGTTTGGTCACCATTGTTTTCAAAATACATTTTTCTCTATTTTATTTTCAACTTTTCCTTATTTTTTAACCACACATTTTTCATCAAATCACTCTTCCAAAATGCATTTTTGGCATAAAATGGGACTCAAACAAGCTTTTAATCCAAGTAGACGTTTTATATTAATCCCTTGTTTGGTTTAA